CGGGAAGAATTGAGATGGGGAATTCCTGGTTTAGGTGATCGGATGTGATTGTTGATTATTCCAGGCTCGCACCAACGATATTCCTGTGTAACGTTGGGGTGGGTCTGAGGTGCAGTGATATATAGTATTGTTGATTATTCCAGGCTCGCACCAACGAAATTCCTGTGTAGCGTTGGGGTGGGTCTGAGGTGCAGTGATATATGGTATTGTTGATTATTTTCAGGCTCGCACCAACGAAATTCCTGTGTAGCGTTGGGGTGGGTCTGAGGTGATGTGATATTATGCTTGTTGATTATTTCCAGGCTCGCACCAACGAAATTCCTGTGTAGCGTTGGGGTGGGTCTGAGGTGATGTGATATTGTGATTGTTGATTATTTCCAGGCTCGCACCAGTGAAATTCCTGTGTAGCACTGGGGTGAGTCTGAGGGGGGTAGTGAATCGTTACGTGTGGATGATTTGTGAGCAACCGGTTATTCGTGAATATGAGTTTTGACGGCTCGCACCAACGATATTCCTGTGTAGCGTTGGGGTGGGTCTGAGGTGATGTGATATTATGCTTGTTGATTATTTCCAGGCTCGCACCAACGAAATTCCTGTGTAGCGTTGGGGTGGGTCTGAGGTGATGTGATATTATGCTTGTTGATTATTTCCAGGCTCGCACCAACGAAATTCCTGTGTAGCGTTGGGGTGGGTCTGAGGTGATGTGATATTATGCTTGTTGATTATTTCCAGGCTCGCACCAGTGAAATTCCTGTGTAGCACTGGGGTGAGTCTGAGGGGGGTAGTGAATCGTTACGTGTGGATGATTTGTGAACAACCGGTTATTCGTGAATATGAGTTTTGACTATACGTGACAGGTAGACCAGTGAGTTGTGATAGGATGGCTAGTTGTGTTCTTTTCATACATAGATTGGAATTAATATTTAATTATTTACAATTCGAGACATATTTAGTAGTGTTTTCATGTTGATTTGTGGGTTTCAATTGTACGTTCTTTTGTTGTTTCTGTTATCGTATCGTTTTTCGCATTGGATTTCTGTTCGTTCTATTTTCTTTGTGGGGGTCGGGTCTTGCCGTGCGCTATGCACCTGACGTACACCTGTTTTCTCTGGTGTACGTCAGACTTAGGAGGAGAACATGTTCAGCTAGGAAATCATCAGGAGCCAGAGGATTCTCAGCAGGAGTGCCTAGCGGATGGAGCAGAAGAAGAAGCCAAAGTTTAGTTATTGGTCCTCAGTTTTCTTTTGTACTACATTCCATTTCTATTTGATCAGTGTATTTTGTATCTCTTTAGTATTCTTTTGTTTAGATTTGTATAAGGGTACGTTTGACCCATATTTTATGTCTGGGATGATTTACCATTGATGATATGTCTATTTTTATTCTGGGTTGTATTTATATTCTCGCTATGTGTGATCGGGGACCTGTGACTTCGTATTGTACTTATTTCCAGACGCTTAGCGTATTGGATTGAGAAGAAAAGAAAAAGAAAAAAAGTAGAGTATATTTCTTCTCAATCTAATACGTCGCGGACTTGCTCGCGTCCCGATTCCCTGGTATTTTGGGAAGCGGGGCGTGACAGAGGCCATTCTCTTCTTGGGAGCCATTCTAATCGTGGCGAAGAAAATATAGAATTGTTGATGAAGGATTTAAGAACGAATTTTTCATTCGTTGAAGCGCCGGAGAAGATGAACAGGAACCCTGTTAAGTGGTCGACAGAAGATCAAGAAAGAGAAAAGTCGAATGACTTTTTGATTTGACCTCAGTGGTCCATTTATATACAGCTGTAGTTGTCAAATCGGTGTGAGATTTTAGGTGAAAATCCCACCTAAAACGTGATTTTCGCGTTTTGAAATAAGGGATTTCAACCTCAAAATGCATCCTCGCATTCAGACGGTCAAACGCATGATTTAGCCATGCGTTTTGGTGATCGGACTCAGTCATTCGCACAACTCATCCTTTTTGAATGGCTTAACATTCCAACAAAGAGTAATGACGATATTGTTAAAATCATTACCCCAGTTGAGCTGATCAAGAAAGGAAATAAAGTGGGTTCCTCTGAGGCTGCCCTCCTGGCCAAACTTGGGATAAGGCCCTTCTCGTACGGGCTTGTGGTTCTCTCTATCTATGACAATGGATCTGTCTTCAGTCCAGAGGTGCTCAACCTCACTGAGGATGACCTCGTTGATAAGTTTGCAGCTGGTATTTCTGTGGTTGCTTCGCTATCCTTGGCTCTCTCTTACCCAACTCTTGTAGCTGCGCCTCACATGTTCATTAATTCCTACAAGAATTTTCTGGACAACTGAATGTACCTCATCATAGATCGAGTGGAGTATCTGAAGGATCCCGACAAAATCCGATGAATACACCTCATCGCAGATTGAGTGGAGTATCTCAAAAACCCAGACGAAATCTGAAAAATGCACTTCATCACAGACTGAGTGGAGCATCTCAAGGACCCAGACAAATTCATTGTCATCATTATTCTTGTTTGGTTCATTGGTAATGACTTGGGCTTTGGCTTGTTTGACTAAGTTTATTGTCATCAAGACGCAAAAGTTACCTTCCAGACAACCAGGTTCACGATGTCTTCGAGTTTGACGAAGTGAGCAAACAGTCAACAAAATTTTAGGATCCAAAGTATTCCAAAAATTCGTCCCAGTCAACCGCGAACTTTCGACAACTTTGGAGGGGGTTCTGTAGACTGTCTAAAAATCACAATAGATAGTTCACCCCTATCAGACTTCAACCGATAGTTTTGACTAAGAAGGTTACAATTAGACAACTTTCTTATTAACAAAGGAAGGCTGCAATCAGAGGATTCTCCTATGGATCAAGAAGAGATTACAAGGCAATGATTTCTTCAAACCAAGATGCAGAATTCATCCTTGCAGCTGAAATACAAGTAATTTCCAAAGTCAACGCAATCACTACATCCGCTGCAAACGCAGCTCCATATCGCTGTAAACGCAGCTCCATATCGTCGCAAACGCAGCTCCATATCGCTGCAAAACGCGACTCCAGATACTGTATTTGGACGTAGGATCATACCCAGAACGCAAGTCAAGACTTTGACTCGTTCAAACGTGATCCATACGGTTTCAAGAAAACCACTGTTCACTCACGATCTGGGAAGTGGTTTAAGTGGGTCGATATACCCGATTAATGGGACGACAAACCCTTATATAGGCGCGGATTATGGGGGCAGTTACACCCCTAACACCCCTATAAATATCAACAAACTCAAGAGAGTTGAGGATCGGATTTCGAGATCGGACTAGAGAGGGACTTTTGGAGATCGGATCATCCACAAGATCGGCTAAAGGGAGATTCTGGGCAATAAGAAGATCTTGAAGCATTCCTCAGCAATCAAGAATTCAAACACTTGGCATATTAACCGATCATTCGGTTTCAACAACTCTGTTTAACAGAATTCTAACTCATTCTGAGTTACAAAACTCGTTAAGAGTTCTTAATCAAACTCATCACATAAATCAGTTGTTCCAGTGAATTAAGACGTTCGGATCGTTAACGGAGAGCAAATTCGACGCGAACATTCGAAGGAGGCACTCCATCGCCACTGTGAAGAACCCAGAATTAAACAAAAGGGAGAATCCAGATCATTCTCCTCTCTTTTGTAATCGGAAATCCAAATTGTAATTGAGATCGAGAGAATACAAATCAAATTTCTTTCATTTTATTTACTATAAATTTTCCACTAAACATAATGGAATCGAAAATACGAGTTAGCATATTGCCCATTTTAGAGCAACTTGTGAAAATACAAGGGGCGGCAACATTTTACTCCTAAGGCAATTTGTCAACAATCTAAGTAGAGTGGCCTTTATGTGGTATTCTGGTTTGCCTGATGATTCTGTAAGAACCTTTTCAGAAGTGGAATCGCTTTTTCGCAAAAGATTTGCGAGTGTTAGCGATAAAATCACTATATTTTAGTTTCCGCCACATTTTTTGTGATAACAGGAAAAACAATAGGCAATCCTATTTACTCCTGCTCTAGGCTTAAATCTCAAATACATTAAAAATTAGACAGGTCATGAGAAAACTAACATATACACTAAATATATAAATTTATTCGCATAGTCTCAATGGGAACATAAACAAGGAACTAGTACATTCGAAAGTAATGCATATAAGGAAATTACGACAGAAAAAGTGCTTAGATTAATTTATTCGCACACGCAAACAACGAAACACAGAAGATCGAGGAACAGGAACTACACTCCACATAGCAATTCAACTGATGAGGAACTACCAAGCGATTTTGAAAATAATTAACTTCATATGCGTAAATGGAACTCAATTAGCTTCAGCTTTTCCTTCCTCGGCTGCCGTAATTATGCCAGAGAAAACCTTAAGAGCATTCGGAATGAGTTTTATTCCTTCTTGTGAGAAAAGAAAACGGAGGTAGTCAGAATGGTAGAAGGGCTTGAACAGTAATGGATGCTCGGTATCTACCAATTCTTCTGGAGGTTGCACGACTGTCTCGTTCTTTGGAACTGATGAATAGTTTGTAACGTAACGGTGTCCGTTACCCCTCATTGTTACCCGATGAATAGTAGGCTCCAACCGTCCGTTGCACAACACCTAATAAATTAAAGAATTAATATCCAACACATTTTTAATTCAAAAATACAAATAGAATGAATAAATCTACACACACATACACTAGGTTTTATGCACGAGCAATGCACCTGATTAAATATCATGATTATGTATTTTTAGTTTATTTCCTTACTAAAATTTGTTCCTGTGTTTCACTTTGATAGTTTTTCCTCACTTACGTCACTAAAATTTAGCATTATGATTGATTATTTTCTTTGATGTTCATTTAAATGAGCTACGCTCAATTTAAGTTTTAATGTTGATAATTGAATTGATAGGAAATAAATATAATCTGGAACTAATTTCAAACATTATGTTATTTGGACTGATAAGAAATCAAGCTTGACCTGAGAAAGTGTAGTGCTACAAAAGTGAAAAACACTTAAAGAATAGCATTATAAAAAGAAGATGAATAATTAAAGCTAAAAAGATAAAATGATTTGCTAAAATTGGGCTAAGTTGAACAAAAAAGAGAATATGAAGTTTGTTCCTAATCCTTTAATAGACTTTAAAAATAATCATAAATTTAAGATTTAGGCTAACTCTAATACACTTTTATGTAATGAAAACATCAACATAAGCATATAAAATTGCTAAAAAAGTTTACGAAAATCGCTTCTAAAGATTCCTAATCTACTTTTAAAAAATAAACTATTCTATAAAATATTCAAAAAACAGTATTTTTTATTCCTTCTATTTTATTTTTTATTGAGATGACATCAATCATTCCCTACCTTTATTTTTTGATAAAATTAGAAGATCTTTAGATTCTAAAAATGGATAGTAAACCTTAAAATTAGAAGTTAAATTTATGTAAGAATATCAAACAACTCTTTTCTTTGCTAAATTTTGAGGGGTTTTCTAAAATTAGCCCTTTTAATTAAGTTTTTGAGGGTGTGTTTTCTAAATTTTAAAACTTTGAGAGTATTTTTTTAATTTTAAATTTTAAGTTGGGCTTGTAATTTTTATATTTTATGTGTTGGTGATAAGTTTTTGAATGTCAGGATATTTCTTGCAACTCTAAAATTTTAAGTGTAGTTTTTATAATTATTAAAACTTTAGATTGTCTTTTGCAAAATTTAAATATTTAGCAATCCGGTGATAATTTTTAGATTTGATATGTAGCGGTCATATGTTTTGAAATTTTAGTGTTTTTGTCATTTTTAATTTTTAGAAGAGTTTTTTGTAACTTTTATAACTTCAGGGTTATTTTTTGTAAGTTTGCAAGCTTTGAAATTCATCTTTGTCATTTGCAAGCTTTGAAATTTTAGAATTTTAGGTTGTTTTTTTATTATATAAACTTTTGAGGGTGTTTCTATAAATTCTTTGGAGGCTACTGTTGATTTTTAGATTTCATATTTGTTATTTTAAGTTTTGAAATGTTAGGATGTTTTGTGTAATTTTAAAATTTTAAGGGTATTTTATGTAATTTTTGAAACTTTATGGGTTATTTTGTAATACTTCATATATTACATCTATTAGTTCTTTACCTTAACAAATTAATACCGTGAAGCTATTTCAAGTATTTTATTAATATTACTTTTTAAAAATTATTAAGATAAAGGTAGTTCGTATGTGATTAGGATAAGATATGATTATGATTAGGATGGATTAAGATTTAAATAAAATATCTAAAATAGTGAAGGATAATATTGATCATGAAAAGCTTTTCACGAACTAGTACTTTTAAAGGGAGTATGTTATGTGTGTGCGTGTCTCTCTCTCTCTCTTAAGATAATATAATAGTCGACAGACACATGACCTTACATTATGGGTTGTGCTAACTCGGACATGATCTGCCAAATCAACTCGAGCATGATCTAATAACTATATTTCACAAAACTCCCCTTAAGTTTGGTAGATAACCCCTCTAAACTTTAAAATTATCACTTAAACTTCTTTTTAAATTTGTTAGACTAACACCTTTACATGCATTTGACTTCGAACTACTAACATATCCTTGATTGAAAATACCATCTCATGTAGGGGTGCATACGGTTTGATTATGGCTCGAGTGTGTTACTTCTTATATTCATGTCTGCTTGCTATTCATGGATACGGATATAGATATACCTTGGTAAGGAAAACTCATAGCCACATCCATACAAATGTGGTTATACATATAGATATGCATGTGGAGACAAAAAGGATAAGAGAAAGGCAAATAATATTGAAAAAAATATAATTCATGTGACACAAGAGAGTTCATTAATATGCTCCTTATATCTGATCAAAAAGCTAAGATTGGATCTCTTGGTCACTAAAATTTATTCTCAAATCTCTTAATCTAAGGATTAAAACACAACTGTAAAATCAACTCTCCTTATATCTGATCGAAAAGATAAGATTAGATCTTTTGATCATCAAAATTAAGTCTCAAATCAATTAATTTAAGGATTAAAGCACAATTGTATGATCACCACATATTCCCATATTTTAGATATGGATCCGGATACTTCACTGCATAACAATTTTTACCTAACAATTTTCATAATCATATTCTATTAGTTATATAATTTTAGTAACCATATCTATCCTAATGGATACGGATACAATATATCCATGAATATAGATATTTTTGTGCACCCCTAGTCTCATGTTCTTTATAATAGTTTTAAGGATAAATGTCATTGAAATCCTAAAACTTTATCCGGTATAGGGTTAGATTTAATTAGAGCAATCAAATTAATAATTAAAGCATTAATTTGAATTTGCAATTACTTACAGATAACTCGTCACCGACCAAGAATGTGAGAGAGTTGCGTGACGGTGTGATCCAGGATCCATCCTTAGAGAGAATCTCAAGTCCCTCCTCTTCATGCTGGCAGAGGATGGAAGTGAACGTCATATCGGTATGGACGGCCATGGCGTTAGCAGGCTGGCCGGGGGTCTTCGGAGGCCCATAGTGGGCTATTCGCATGTAATGCTCATAAGATTCCAAATGTTTGTCAAAATATTTCTCCACTCCAAACCCCTCAAATATCTCGCATGTAATGCTCATAAGATTCCAAATGTTTGTCAAAATATTTCTCCACTCCAAACCCCTCAAATATCATTTTTCTCACCATTTGGTCCACTTCCAGGTTTGTCAAAATATTTCTCCACTCCAAACCCCTCAAATATCATTTTTCTCACCATTTGGTCCACTTCCAGTAGAAGCATCATGAAGGTGTGCACCACGTCCCTGTCCATACATGTGAACTATTTTTAGAGAAGGCACGGTTACAAAAGTTTACAAAGCAAATTTCATGATCGGCTTATCGAAAAATCGTATATTAAAAGAAGCTATGCATTATACCGGAACGCTGGATTGCCTTTCTCGCCCCATAAAAGACCGACGAACTTATTAAAGTTACGGTCAACGGTACAGTCGGGGATGCCGAGGGCTTCGTAATCGATGCTCGGAATGTCGATGTAGTTATTGTGGGGCGTTTCGAGGCAACTAGTCTGAATCTTGACCTCCTTGGGCAAAGCAAATAACTCCTTCAACGCCTTGCCAAATACCGCCTCTCTTATCTCTGGAGTGATCTTATCATACACAATCTCGAACCCGGTGAGTTCATTGAGTGATCGCATGACCTGTGATCGCACCGTGGTCCATTCCTCGCTGCCGGAGCTTGCGAGGGAAAGGCGGGAGAAATTTATCTGTGGAAGCTTGGAAGAGTCGCAGGAGGCCATTGATTTCTCTACTTGGTATCTAATTTAGTTCGTGTCGCTTGGCTATGGCTCCGTGGGTGTCCGTATAAATAAGATGTAGATGTTTGCTATTCTTCTGGATTTTTTTAGCTTTAGACACAAAGTTTTTGTAGCCCCTTTATGTTTATAAAGCCAAAAAACTTTTCCTTTCTATCTTTGAATCCGAAACGTCAAATACATCCTATTTGTATACACTGTCTTGCCTTAAATTGTTTGGAGGGTGTTTGATGCTAAGTTCCATACAGAGATTTTTCTCGGAATTCACTAGTAGAAAAATGACCAAACTAAAGGGAACAACCTAGACGGAATTTTTTTCCGTCTAGGTTGATCCAAACTAGACGGAATAAATTCCGTCTAGATTATTCCGTCTAATTTGGCGTATTCTAGACGGAATATTCTGTCTGGAATGCCAAACTAGACAGAAGTTTTTATTTTTAAAAAAATAAAAATTCAACCTAGATGAAATATCCGTCTAGGTTGAATTTTTATTTTTAAAAAAATCAACCTAGACGGAATTTACATCTAGGTTGGGTTTAATAAAGAAAAAACAAAAAACCCAAACCCCAATCCCCCCCCCTCACCACGCCGCTTCAGCCGCCACAGCCTGAACCCAAACCCCCTCCGCGAAAACCCTCTCCCTCCCCTCTCCATCTCCAACGCATCGCCCCGTCCCCTACCCCCCCCCTCGCACCCCTGCCCCCAACGCTCCCCCTCCGCTCCCAGCCGCATCGCCCCCTGCCTCCACCCCCCTCTCTCCCCCCGTCCCTCGCCCCCACTCCCCGTCGTTCGCGTGCCCCGCATTCCTCCCACCCCCTCTCTCGTCTAAACTCACTTTCCTGCAGGCGCAGCCTCTCCCTCTCCTTATCTCTGTCTCGTCGTTCTCTCCCTCTCCTGCAGTCCCCATTCAGGTAAAATTTTTAATTTTTTTATATTTATGAACTGTTTTTTAAACTAATTTACTATTTTAATTAAATAGTTATTTAGTTTAATTAATTTGTCTAATTAAGTTAATTTTAGTTTAATATTGTAGGTGTGATTATGTAAGTTTGTGATGTGAAAATATGTCAAATAAAAAATTTTCAAAAAAAATAGAGTGATATATAACACATTATAATTTTTAATAATGTGTTATAATCCAATTAAGGTGAATGAAAAAAATAACATTATCTCTAGACTTCCGTCCAATAATTATATCCAAATCTTTAGATTTATAATATAAGGTAGACGACTCATATTTGGGTAGAAGACGAAGTTTTCTCCCGAAAATGATCGTTTAATTTATATTATACGAATAAAGCACTACAAGAAATTACATCTTTAACGAAGGGATTTCCCTTCGTTAAAGAACTGAAAACATTCGTTATTGTATGCTAACGATGGGGAAAAATCCCTTCGTCACCCGTCGTTGAAGCCCTCTTTGCTAAAGGGTCACGAAGGGATATACTACCCGTCGTTATAGAGTCTATAACAACGGAACATATTACCATCATTAATATTTACAGGGGATATTTTCTCGTCGTTACCATCAGTGACGGGATATTTTCCCGTCGTTACCATCAGTGATGGGATATTTTCCCGTCGTTACCATTAGTTACGGGGATATTTTTCCATCGTTGAAGACTAATTAATGACGGTTGGATACCGTCGTAAAAGTCCACATAATGGGTAATTAGTAACCCATCAACGACGGTGCTTTCCCTTCGTTGATGAACAAAACCATCAACGACGGTGCTTTCCCTTCGTTGATGAACAAAATACGGTTTATAAAACCGTCATTGTAGACTAAAAATTTCTAATATACATTAATAATAAATTTTCTATTCATAGGCAACTATCATATTATTCTCAACTAGACACTAAGATTCACAACAAAAACATATTAAAAATACCCAATAATGAATAAGAGGTAAAATAAAAATTCCATTCATTAATAACATCAATAAATAAAATTCCACCATCCTCAAATATTCAATACTAATAATAAGAGTTAATATCCTAATTGTTCCAAAGAAAAATACATGAAACTATCTAAAACAAATTAAAATAAAAGTTTGGGGAAGACACATTCTTTCATCTCGTCAAAAGAAGATAATCTTGCATGGATAGCCTAAAAAATTAAAAAAAAATCACATAATTAAGAAATATCAATTAAGCAAATATTATCTTATTAAGTAAAAATCACATTTTTAGTGCAAGTAGTCAATCATAAAAGCATATAAGAGATTTTACAAAAAATAATTACCTAGTCCTGCACACGTTCTCGAGTTTGAGGAGTCAATAAAGGTGATTACCTAAAAAAAAGTTCTTGCATAGCTTTCACTTGTGACTCCAACTCAGACATCCTTTGTTGTTGTTGCTCCTGCTCATCTAATCGTTATTGAAGCATCTGGTTCTTTCTCTTTTCTTCTTTAACCCGTGTTTCCATATTAGATTGACTAGGGAGTGGTCCTCTCAAATCTTTTAAAGTAGTCCCACCACCAAATACAGTAATGTGACCATGAAATTGCTTCTCCCAGATTTTCTTAACTATATCAATGTCAGAAAGTGAAGGATTTGCTTGTTTGACTTGAACAATTTCATCCTATAAAAATTAAATTCATATGTTAGTACTATATAATGCATCATTATCAAACTTAAACACATATTCTACTTACATATTTATCTTGATCCCCATTTTCTAGTGTTTCATTAGCTTTCTTTCGAGTTTCATGAAACATTTTTGCCACATCAGGTGGATTTCCTGACTTGCCACCCTTATTCAAATATTAAATAAAAATGAGTACAACATCAAACTAAAAAACAAAGTAGTTATAAATAAATAAGAAATTAGTTTTGAATGTATACCAATTCCCACACAATTTGTCTAAAGGGTTTACTGCCCGTGTGGTGGAGCATGGAGCATCTTTCTTTTGCCTCTGTTAAGTGTATTTTGTTGGCTTGCTTTCTATACATCAAGATTAAAAGATAATTTCAACAATCCAACAATATACATGGAACAAAATTAATAAAATTAGGAGATTAATACCTGAAATTTTGAAGAAAAATAATGTTCCTTAACTAGCCAATCCCAGTCATCAACACTCACTTCTGTAGGTTTATTTCTAAGTGCAACTTACAATGAATTTTCTTTCACATATTTTCTGTGCATGTCATCACGCCACTTATTCCACAAATCACGCAAGTGTCTCATTACTAACTCTCTCTTTTGCTCCATGTCCTCAGCATCAAATTTATCCTATATCAAATTTGAATCAAAATTTAATTTATAAGAATTAAAAACCAATTGCAAAAAATTAATTTTTAATGTACCTTAATGGATGCCCACATATGATCTTTATTTTGTTGTGGTATTTTGGCCCAATTCTCAACAGCTACTTGGCAAATATTTCTATCACGAATAATAATTCCAAGATATCGTGAAAATTCTGGCTCAATAGCTCTATTCTGATAAAAAATAATGATCTTTTTCTCCCCATGTGACAAATTATTCAACTTTAGATACTTATTATTACCACGAGGTGGATTTTTCTTCTTATGAGAATTATCCGCTGCATACATCATATCATATGTTAGAAACAAGATATAGGTAAAAAGAAATTGATAAAAATATTACTTCTTGTAATTAATAAAGAATATACCTTATTGTCGAGATTCATTTAGTATTACATTATCACTTTGCACTCGATGATTATTTGATTCTGTAAAAAATTGGGCAATTATTAATCCAATCATAAAAAATAAATTGAAAGATAAAAAAGAAATATTAATAAATTTTAAGTCTCATCAACCTGCAGAATCATCATTCTCTTCATTGTTAGTATTTACACTTCTCCTGCGATTTTGTGCAAAATTCTCCTCTTCAAAGTTTTCTGAATCAGCACTAAAATTTGTACCCATATTTTGATCTTGTATTGGATTTTGAATATTCAAGTTCTTGTCATGACAAGTACGAAGTTGTTCCCTTTAATGAATTTTCTGCAAGTGCTTGAAGTCGCTTCCTAATTAATGACCTGGGTGCTAGAAATTATGCCCTTTTGCTTTTGGAAGTGACTTCTTGAGTTTTTATTTTTCTACTATGAATAGGAATTTAAGTATCAAACACTATGTATATAACAAATGTCAAAAGAGAAATGAATAAAAGAAAAAGAAATCCCCAAGGACAAGCATAATAATAAATACATAATACACTAATGTAGAAACAATTGCTGCAATGTCAAAGCCACATCCAAAATATGAAGAAAAGAACATCATATGTCTAAAAAAGGAATAGTTATAGTAAGATACAACTTAAAATTTATCTCAATAACACAATATTATTTGTGTTCTATTCTTTAATTAAAGCGTTCTAATTCTCTGCTTGAGTCTTTTTCCTCATTTTTGAAGTTGAGACCGAATTTACAATAATTGGTTCAATAGTCAATAAATTGGAATTGGTGTAATGCATAAACAAAACATAGTTGTTAGACCCTAGAGGGGGGGTGATTAGGGTCTTATGCTAATCTAATCCGATTAAATGCCAATTAAAACTAATTAACAAGTTTATTCTTGCAAGATAGATATACAAAGAGTTATGTGCAAGAATATGCAATACACAAGGAGATCTCCACTATCACAACCGGGTTTTCTACGTTCACCCGAACAACGTTTACACCTCACAATACAATCACTATGCAATCACACCTCACACACTAAGTGTTGGTCCTAGCCCGTGTCCTCCTCCTCAAGTGCTCGGTTACAACCTCTCCCTAGGCACGTCAACCGACGCCACTCCTCTTGGATTCGACCCCGTCTCTCACCACACACTTCTCTCGGTGTACAAGTGTATTACAAGTGAATCCTCACAATTAAGCACAATATAAATCAATTTGATTGTTCTCTAAACAAGGTGAGAACTCAATTAAGCTCACTCTCAATGTCACAAACCCACAACCCTAAATTATACTATGAATGTAAATACAATAAGCTCAATGGTTGTGTGTGTACAAAGAGATAAATAAAATCAATTAAACTAAACTCAATATAAATCTAGCTTATGGAAATTATAATCAAAATAATAAATTGCTAGATGAGTTTAGAAACACTTCTCTAAAGATGACAAGAGA